AATAGTCTCAGAAGCCGATTTCCAAAGGACAGTAATCCCCTTAAAATAGAAGCTTTTAAATGACATTACTGCTCATCAACTGCAGGAGGGGTTTTAGCCTGCCCTACATGACACTGCTTTACACAGGCAGTAGCTCAGGAGGATTCCAGGCCAGATCCCCTAAGGGAAAAAAACTACAAAAGAAACCTGTAAAACCTGTAAATGAATTGTTTTCCTAGTTCTTTCCTATTTTCAATGCATTTTGCCACAGCTGAACTTTTTCCTACGGTAGCTCATTAATACAATATACCCACTATGGGAACAAGACAAGCCCTCCAGTTTTTAGCAGCAAATTAAACATATGTTGAACTCTTTTTTTTGTTTTTGTGAGGAAGATCAACCCTGAGCTAACATCCGATGCCAATCCTCCCCTTTTTCACCAAGGTAAAGACTGGCCCTGGGCTAACATCCGTGCCCATCTTCCTCTTCTTTATATGGGACGCCGCCATAGCATGGCTTGATAAGCGGTGCGTCGGTGCGTGCCCAGGATCTGAACTTGCGAACCCCAGGCCGCCGCAGCAGAGTGCGTGCACCTAACCGCTGCGCCACCGGGCAGGCCTATGTTAAACTCTTTTACTGTGCGACTTGGCAAAAGTCACTGTATCTTTCTAGGCCTCAGTGTACTCATCTGTGGAATGAGATTAAACTAGATATCTAAGGGTCCTTTCTATCTCTGAAGTACTAAGTGAACCCAGTTGCCACTAACAAATCATAAAGCAGTAATACTTTAATGGGATACAGAGACCAGCTGGACAAGACTCTGAAGTCAGCACAGATCCCATCACCAAAAAAAAAAGTCTAAACCTTGCCTCCTACCTTCCCAAATTACATAATCTCACTCATATCTGAGAGCCCAATGCAAAGCTCAAAGACAAAACACTTACAGTCAAAGGCTGAGCTAAAAGGTCAAGTCCAAACTCTGCTACTATGGCTTCCTGGGCTAAGTGTATGTGAGTGCTGAAGAAATACTATTCAGTCATAGCACAATTATGTGGATGAAGAAAGAGAGACTGTACTCCACAGGATTCTGAATGCTTCTGATTATTCCAGAGTAAGTAGATGGCCTTGGGCAAAAATCTTGACTGGTGCCACTCACTGGGGTAGAGAGCAATGGGAAGCACATTAAGTGAGTGACATTATTGAGAAGGAACTCTGAAAAGGGGGAAATAAGGATGGGGTGGAGGTTTCCTCAAGTAGGTTTCCCCTATTACCTACCTACACTGTTGTACTAACTTGAGAAGACTTTCCAGAGCTTGTGCATTCACAGGATTTTATAAAAATATGTTTGTGTGTGTGTGTGTGTGAGGAAGATTGGCCCTAGGCTAACATCTGTGCCCATCTTCCTCTATTTTTATATGTAGGACCCCGCCACAGCATGGTTTGATGAGGGTGTAGATCCAAGCCCAGGATCCAAACCTGCGAACCCCTGGCCACTGAAGTGGAGCACGCCTAACTTAACCACTGCGCCACCAGGCAGAACCCCCAAAAATATGTCAAAAATAGTGACTCAACTTTTAGGGAAATGAACACTTTGACCTGGAAAAGGCCAAATACCCATTGCCATTGCAGTCAATGCTTCTTAGAGCTAGACTATAGACAAGTCTTTCAATCACACAGCTTTCAGGTTTGAGCATGGAAAAAAAACCTGTCCTGGTATGAAAAGAACACTGGTTTTGGAGTCAGATAAAACTAGGTTTGATTCCTGGCTTTACCACTTACTGAGTGACGTCTGGCAAATTTTAAAACCCCACTAGGCCTGAATTTCCTCACCTGTAAAATGGGGATAATACAATCTACCTGCAGGGCTATTGTGAGGATTATAGCAAATATATGTAAAGCACCTAGCATTACGCACATCATAGGAGTTTAGTAAATGCTGTCAGTGGTAGTATCCTCCTCCTCGTTGTTTGAATAACAATCAGCAACACTGTGCATGCCCTCCCTCTTGTCAACTCAGATATTAGTAAAATAAACTAAAGCACAGAAAATAAGCAGAAATGCATCTAGAACAGCCACGAAGGCATTAACTGGTTTTTGGTCACAGAAGAGTCCCTGATGTCCATACCTAGCCTACCTCCTTCCTAGACAAAAAGCCAATACTACAACAGAGAAGAAACAGAAATTAGTAAAGAGAGGCTGCTGCAGGAAGCTCACTAACAGTGTGGAGGAGATATGAAAAGGGGAAAAAACAAACTATAAAAAGCAGACAAAAGAACTTTAAGAAGCAAGCTGTCTAGGACATTTACATAGAGGCAAGTAACCTTATACCTTCACTGACCTGCGAGTATCACTCTAAGTAGAACACTTACTGTTTTAAGCTATTTCCAATCAAGTTAGGTTCAATGTACATACTACTCTGTTAAAAGAAGGTAGAGAAATTCTCCAAAAATGCTTAAAATGTGAAAAGTTTTGGTGCTTAAAAGAATAAGCTTCAGGGGGCCAGCCCGGTTGTGTAGTGGTTAAGTTTGCGTGCTCCGCTTTGGTGGCCCAGGGTTCGCAGGTTCAGATCCCAGGCGCGGACATACACACCATTTATCAAGCCATGCTGTGGTGGCATCCCACATACAAAACAGATGAAGAGTGGCACAGATGTTACCTCAGGGACAATCTTCCTCACCAAAAAAAAAAAGAATAAGCTTCCATCTGTGGGAGAAATTTCACTTATGTGAAACAGTTCAAAGACCAACAAAATTAGATAAATATATTTACTGTGTAAAGACATATGCAACAGAGGAGAAATCTCTAACTGCTCTATACTGGTGCAACAAAATAGTTGAGTAAAACAGTTGTGACTTTTCCACTGCTTTTCTTTGGGGGAAAAAAAGGCTTGCTTTCTTCAAGATTCTGTTTTAAGGAAAGACCATTCTAAAGCTGAAGTGATAAGACAAAAGTCAGATTACACATGTCTTCTCCTAGCCCCCCTAAGGTCTTACCTCTGCTTTTTAAAATTCAAAAGTTTTATTCTCTCTTCATTCCATAAAACTAGTCATTTACCCACTAGAGAGAATCCAGAGTGCAACAGAAGAAATGCATTGGTCTTTACTTCATAAGTGGCTTGGACTTGATTCTTCTAATGAGGCGATAATGAGTTATTTTATTTTATCTGAATTATTTTAAATGGATAAAGAGGGGCCTTGGGAGACCAGTTTTTCCTCTCTGATTTTCTCACATTGGCCTACATCTGACTTAAAGACATAACAAACTCTATATGAATTTTAAACTCCAGAAGAATTTAACAACTGGAATGTTTACTATCCATTCAAAATAAAGGGGTCAAAGCAGGCAGTTTTGTTTTGAGCAACTGACTGTGGAACGCCCACCTCTCCATGTTCTGAGAGGTGTATTTTAATAGTAGCAGTAGCAACTGCTACCTAACGTCAATTGAGCACTTATGGGGCTAGGCACTGAACTATGTGCTTTACATAAATTATTTCATTTAAATGTCACAATAACCTTATGAAGGATTATTATTATTCCTATGTTAAGATGAGGAAACCAAGACTTAGAGAAGTTAAGAAATTTCCCCAGTTTTCAAGGTTAGGAAGTGGCAGAACTAGAATTTGAACCCAAGAGTTAGGTTTAACGTGGTACAAAGGACCAGGTGTTTTATTTTTAGAGTCCATTTGAATATTTGTTAGATTAGCTCATTGCTTTAGATATTGTCTTCTATGTATATTAAAGAATATATAAAACAATGAAGTAAGAATAGTAATGTATTTGCTTTTAGAACTTCATTTCTCTCTTCCACACTAACCTCTTTTCTTCTCCCTTAAAGTCTTAAGTTAGAATGGAAGGACAGAAGAGTGAAGATAAGAGGCAGGACTGAATTACTGATTAGCATTTTCACCATCTGAAAAGAGCTTGCTGTGGTAACTCCTCTCAGAGCTAAATGATACACATGAACAATTTATTTCAGGCCCTGAAATTATCTCACAGAAGCGAACTTAAAAAAAAAAAAAAAAATCACCTTTTTTTGTTTTAAAAAGGCGAAAGGGACCTTAAAAGATTGTCTGTTCAACCCTTGATATTATAATAGAAGTCTGAGGATTCCCTCTAGTTAGTAATTGGGATAGGACCAAAAACCAGGTGTTTCAAGGCCTAATGGAATCTGTGGCTCCTATAAGATTAGCCCTTAATCTGTATCAGTGAGGTAGCCTAGCTCTGGCTGACAAAGTTTGGGTCTGAATGAGTACTCCATGGGGGATATTATTTCTATCTGCATGTGAGGGAAAACAAGGGGAAAGGACACACATTTGGAGAATAACTAAGAGTGGTCTAATACGAATACGGAACGTAACACGAAACACAAAAAAGAGACTAGCTTCTACCTTTAGCACAGATTATTTAGCCCTTTGAAAATTCTCTAACTACTATAGAACCATTTCATGTTTAAGTCCACTCCCATTCAAACATTTGCCAATTCATAACAAAGGTAACAGATATGTTTATCCAAATTAACTTCCAGTCTAATCTTTCTACACCAATTGCCCAGGTAAGGATGTTTAAAGCCAAATATCTGCAGGGTTCTTATATTTTGGTTGGGCTATATCTTTGATTTCCAGAGTTCAGAGGGTTATAGATCTTTCGAATTCAATGGAGTATAGCTATAGGCTGCAATGATTTGTGGCTCTGTGATTATAAATAATTAAGGGGCATGCCTTAGAAAGCTCGGGCTTCATTTGAAAGTCCTAAACTGTAATGGAAGATTGGAGAGCTACAGTAGTCGTCTCCTGACTAAAATGCTTCATCGGTGTGTGATCCTGGGAGTCATTTAACTTTGCCGTACCTCTATTTTGCTCCCTATGACAGGAACTCATGCAGACATCATATGACGTATCTAAAGTGCTCTGGACACTCCAGAGAAAGACACTCTACAAAGACCTTTTAAAGCCACTCCCCCATATCCAAAGGGAAGGGAACACCAAACAAATAATTTAGGATTTTAATTTCATATAACTTACCTATACCGCTCCTCTTGTAAGGCCTGCATTATTAATGAATAGTCCCTCTGATAATGTTCCTTTAGGGTCTCAAAGGATTCCTCTAGTCTGGCCTGGGTTTCCCGGATCTCCTGGATCTCATGTAGTAGTGCGTCAAATCCTGAGCTCTGCATGTCCAAGGTGTTTGTTTTGGAGCTAGATGCTCCTACAGCAATGCCTCCAGTGGTGCTGTTGGCTCCCACTGAGCCTGAAGTGGCACTAGAACAATCTTCCTCACTACCATATTTTGGGCTCGACTGAAAGTTTGAAATCACTCCCAAAGCCTTCCCCCCATCATCCACTTGCCCTTCCTCTAAAGAGTCCTTCAGATTAGGGATGTTGTCTGCACTCCCAAATTTATTCCGAATTAGTGAAGCGATCTCTCTGGGCTTTGAGACCACAGCCCCTGCTGCTGAATGGGTCGCCTGGGAGAAGCTAGAAAGTCCTCCTTTGACACTGTCTACCACACCTTCACTGAAGCCAGTCACTTTTGCTCCCACATCCTTCAGACCCTGGTGCATGTCCCTGAAGACATCCTTTGGCTGCCGAGGAATCCCATTCTGCTCCACCTCTCGGAGCTTCCTGTGGTAGTGCTCAAGCTTCTTTTGTAGCTGGAGGATGGTCTGGGCAGACTTCTGATTCTTCTTCTCAAAGACCTGCTTGATGCGGGCGGCCTGCTGCTTGTCTGCACTGTTGGCAAGCTTCAAGTACTCAGCAACGTTGTCATCCCGGGCTGTTTGTGCAATCTTGATCTGTTCTGTGAGCTTCAGGATCTTCTGCTGCAGGTGAGCGATAGCAGCCTTTGTGCGCTGAGGGTCTGGTGTTCCATCCACAGAGTCTGTGTGGATGCTGCCATCAGCGCTGGAGGCCACTGCACTGGAAGTCTGGGCGAGACTGCTTACTTCCAACCGCTCGATCTAGCATAAAAGCAAGAGGTGGATGTTAGAAGAAGCCCAAGAGAACTACTTCTCCAGAATCAATGGGCCAAAATGTAGTGAAAATTTACCCACTCTCAGATCTCACCACAGATAGTGGACCTAATTCCTCCTGTCCTATACAAGCTCTGTCTCCCTCGTGGTACCGTCCTCATAAAAGTATACTTTACTTAAGCAAAACAGATATATAAAAAAAGATTTGCACAAGATGTAAACTGGGGGTATTCTTCCTTTGTGGAGGATTTATTACAGTATTTCTTTAAATAACAAAGCTCCCCTAGGGGGTTTAAAGCATAAGTCAATTCATAAACATTGTCCTTTTTGTTTTGTTTAGAAGCATATATATATGTAAAACAAGGTACATCTGTATTTCCATTTAATTATATGAAAATCATTTTAGTATTCAGACCACTGTAATTCTAATCCACACTCTCAGACTACAGTCATCCAAAAATGTTAGTGAGAACAGGTACCTTACTGGCTAGATTTAAAAATCCAATTTTTATCACAGTGTCTTTTTACCCAAATCATGTCAAGGGTGATAGAATCATTCTCTCTCTATTCTAATAGGGACACTTAATTGGTAGCTGGAGACAGGCGGAGGTAAAAATGGGAAGGTACTGCTGAGAGTGGCAAGGACGAATGCAGCGCACTCCCGAGACTTAAAATCCCAAATCACAAGTAATCGTGATAAACCTGGGCAAGATAATGTGAACACTCAGCAACAGGGACAGTAAGAGGTAAGTAATTAAACAAGTCAGTGACTAAGTTCAGGCCTTTTGGAGCTCAAATTTTGTGAATTCTATCCAGTAAAAGATTTTTATTAGGCAAGGGACTCCAGAACACACACAATGACTATCCCTTCACATGGGTAAGCAACCATTCAAAGGAGCTGAAGAAAAAGACAAGCTGCTCAAATTTGAAAACTTAAACTATCATACTCCAAAGCTGTTAGCCACAGCTGGGGACAGGTCAGGTTTCCCTAACTCAGCAGAAAAGAATCCTTCAAGAAGGCACCCCTGGGGTGTGGCTTGTGGTGGTGAATTAGAATAGGGCCCATGCAAAAAGGCTTTAGAAACTGCTCTCTATTGAGCAGTTACAGAAATAAATAGTAAAATAATCATCTCAGAGTAATAAAAATTCCTAGCAAGAGTATCAAATTACAAGTTTACCATCCTGGAGATTAAGAGAACACCCTTTTCCTTGGTTCCCATCCCTAATCTGTCACCAACAGCAATTTGCTAGAAAAAACTGTATATAGGTTTCTCTTATATTTTAAAAAGTTGAATCACATTTTTTTGTAATGACAATAACACACCAAATCTGAAATATTCATGAAATGCTGATAATTAACTTGTCAGTCTAGAGATGGATTCTCTTTTTTTCATCTTGGTTGTATCTCCTCAGTTTGCCATCTGAGCAAAAATTATGCTGATCTCTAACTCTAAAACACATTTAATTCATTACTGGATTCAATATATTACTACTGATGTGAATAAAAACAGTATTATTTTCTTCCTAGATGAACAAATGAGAAATACTGTGCATTTAAATAAAATCAAAAATTTAAAACTGAAATGAATAACAAAATGACATTATGTTCCACTAATAAAAAAGAATACCCAGAATAGTTAGGGACTAGCACAATAACTGTTTTGTGTTCCTTCCTCCACCTGCCCTGTTCATCTTTAGGTGCATGCTAGCAAGCAGTTTCTGAAAGGGTCAGAGGGAAGGCAGCAGAAGGATGAGCCAGAGTTCCAGATAACCAAGTCACCAAGAGTTGCAAACAGGAGATTCTGGAAACCTACTCTCTTCAGTGCCTTGGGTTCACTCTCTTAGGTTACAGTGTTCCCATTGTCTGATTTTCTTTCTGAATGGGATTTCAGACCCCATAACTATAGTATGTAATATGACCCTGATTGTGTACTTATGTTTAATAGCTCAAAATCTACCACAGTATAAAAGGAAAGTGAATATGAAATACCACTAGATCCAAGACTACAAGCTAATGCATGGTCTAGTTTTCTTAGGTTCTTTGTTAGTAATTTGAATATCAACTTACATGTAATCTGTTGTCTAAAGAAGTGTAGATATAAAAATCAAATTTAACTATTACTTTGGGAGGATAAAAATTGATCATATTGGTGAAAAGATGGTTTTGGGACTAGAATCAACGTTTGAGTACATCTCTAAAGTTGAAAAAACTCCAACAAACTTTCAATATAATTATTTACAAATGATCACAGTTTAGATGTGATTTGATTTTCCTACACAGTAACTAAAGAAATAAACCAGATTGTCTTTAATCTGACTTCTGTCTTACCTGGGCTGTTCAGAGTCACACTATGTCCTTCCAGTGCATGGCTCCCACTTAGAATCATCAACACGCCTGCAAGAGTACACCTGACAAAACCCACTGTCTTCAGCCTCCAAAGAAAATTAACCCACAATTTCAGCAGGAGGGTAGTTTAACACCTGAAACCGTGAATCACTAGATTACTCAGTAACTCCTCCCAATTTTGGCAGGCACTATCCTTAAAAAAGAGAGAGAGAGAGAGAAGAGAGGGAGAAATTGGGAGAGAAGAGGAAGGGAAAAGAGAGGAAGAGAGAGGAAGAAAGAGGGAGAGGAGTAGAGGAGGAAAGAGAACGATATACTGAACCATAGAACTACAGGACAGGGCTATGAATACTCTCTCGATGTCTTTTGAGCTATGAACAAAATCTTTAAAGGCACAAATACTTAGCACTAAAGGGTAGCTGGTAGCTACAAATGCACAAACTGAAAAGTGGTTCTCTTTTCTAATAGGCTTTGCTAGCATATTAAGCCATCCATATATAACAACATAAAATTAGATTTCTACCTCACTCCAAACAACCAAATTGCAAAAGTGAAAAGCAAATTTTAAACCTTTTAGAAGACAATATTGGAAAATAGGGAAGGATTTTCTCAAACACACACAAAAATGCATGTCAGAAAAACACTATTATTGAATCTGGCTACATTTAGTGTAGTAGTGAAGCATGGATTCTGGCATAAACTGCTTGGGTTCAAATCTGGATTTGCTACTTACTAGCCCTATGACCATAGGCAAGTTACTTAATCTCTGTACCTATTTCATCAACTGTAAAATGGGGATAACGTCACTGCCCAATGTGGGGCCTTCTGCTCGCCGCAAGACTTGCCGATAGTCAAGAGGCAAGGTGTAGGAGAAAAGGACTTTTTTATTACAGCTTGCTAGCAAGAGGGAAGATGGCCGACTAATGTCTGAAAAAAACCATCTTAAGGGGCACAGAGTCTTACAGCAGTTATATAGGCCAGTGGGTTAGAGGGGAGGGAGTTAGGAATGTTGACCTTCTGGTGTTACAGACTGGGAGTCGCCACACCAGATCTTTCAGTTTTCATTGATGATGGCTCTCAGCATAGACTCTCTGTTTGGGGGTCATCACATTCCTAAGGAACTCAAAAGAACAAAGTTATCATCTTATTGCAGCTGGGAGGGATATTCACAGGCAGGGTTGTAAAATCTACAGAGCAGTTAGATCTCCTGGAGGGTGCAGATCCAGCTGGGCTAGTCTGTCAGAGGTCATTCAAAGTTACAATAGGGTTTCTTTTCTACAACATGGCTTCCCTCATGTCAACCTTGTCTTGAGCAGGTATCAATAACACTAATGCTCACTTTAGAACTGTTGTGAGGATGAAATGAGTCACTAATATAAATGAGCTCAAAACAGTACTGGACACAGAGTAAGCTGTTAGCACTGGTTATTATTTTTGTACCATGTATTAAAAAAGAGACAAGTACAAAATGGAGGCACTTGTGCTAAGGTCACATCACCAAACCAAACCTTAATACCTAACCTAATTGCAGTTTCAGCCTCTCCTTTAACCAGAACGTAAACTTTAACCAGTCAATCTGGAATTACCTGGTCAGCACTAGTGAGGTAATCCGCCTGATAGACCCCTTTTGTCCTCCATAGAAAGGTGACCATGCCTGAAACAATGCACTCTTTGCTAGAAACTTTTTTCTGTCCACTTCTGCCTATAAAAGCCTTTCATTTTGTATAGCTCTTTGGAGATCCTTTCTATTTGCTAGACGAGATGCTGCCTGATTCATGAATTGTTGAATAAAGCCAGTAAGATCTTTAAAATTTATTCAGTTGAACTTTGTTTTTTTAACATGTGTTTTTAAAAAATCCAAATATTAAAAGATTGCAGAATATATTTCTTTCTAAGATCTTTCACATTTCAGGCATAAACAAGGGATATGTAGAGAGTTTGAACCAAAGGAATAATGTAATTCAACACTACAGTAAAAGTAATAACAGTCACCTTGATAGTTGGTCTTGTGGCTAGGCAGCTGGGCTAGCTAATCTTCCAGTCCTCACAACAACCCTATAAAGTAGACACTGTCATCACTAATTTACAAATGAACTGACTGCAATGTGCTTCCTACTACCTTATCACATGGCAGTTTGACAACAGCAGCAACGATATCACCTACTCAATAGGGCTTCCTGTGACCATATCCTGAAGGCCTTTCTTTCTTTTTTTGTGAGGAAGATCAGCCCTGAGCTAACACCCAAGCCAATCCTCTTCTTTTTGCTGAGGAAGACTGGCCCTGAGCTAATATCTTGCCCATCTTCCTCTACTTCATGTGGGATGCCACCACAGCATGGCCTGACAAGCTGTGCATCGGCATGCACCCGGGATCTGCACTCGGGATCTGAACCCGGGCCGCCAGCAGCGGCAGAGCACACGCACTTAATCACTACGCCACAGGGCCAGTCCTTTCAAGTCTGATCACACTCACCAGTATAGCAAGTCCTAGCCACTTACGGTGGAGGTTAGAATTAATTTGTATAGAAAAAAGCTAGGACCAAAAATCAGTCACTTAAATGTATTTTTACTACCTATTATAAGCTAGGCAATGTGCTACAAAACTAGGGATATGGTCAGAGGCCATGATTCATACCTAACTGTT